TATACTCTAAAAAAAATGACCTCATTCATGTACTTAAAATATTTTTTTTAATCAATATGTAAAACATGTGCAAGCATATGAATGCACCTTAAGACCATCATATTACATCAATTACATAAAAACACATAGTATTTACGTCCATGTTCTAAGTGAGTTACACTTATTTGATTTGTTTAAGATCACTCGTTTATTATAACATTTCTTTAAAAATCGATACCTTGACTTGATTCAATATGTAAAACATATGCATGCATATGAATGCACCTTAAGACCATCACATTATATCAATCACATAAAAACACATAGCATTTACGTCCATGTTGTAAGTGAGTTTCACTTACTTGATTTGCTTAAGATTACTCGTTTATTGTAACCTTTCTTTAAAAATTGATACATTGACTTGATTCAATACCTTGAACATACACCTCGTATAATATAAGAAATTGAATATTATTATTTTATATCTAATCATTTAATTTTTTTTATGAATTCCTATTATTTTATTATAATTTCTTTTAAATTAAAAATTCCTAATTAATCATCAAATCTACTCTAATTTATTTAATTCTCCTTTAACTATATTCATATAATCTACTATTATTAAATTTTAATTTAACCTTTTTAATTCTTATTTAAAAGCATTCATATCATCAAATATTCTCTAAAAATTTAAGATTTTAATGCTAAAATATAATTTTTACATAATCAATCCTAAATCATAAAATTTCCAACTCAATTCTACCTAAAATCATATAAAAACAAATAATTAAATTAAATATTTTTCTTACCTTGAATATTCAATCACCAAGACTTGAATCTTCTTCCAAATCTCTCTCTCTCTCTCTCTCTCTCTCTCTCTCTCTCTCTCTCTCTCTCTCTCTCTCTCTCTCTCCGAATTACAAACTTATAAAATGACTTCTATAAATGAGGAGAATAACCCTATATATAGGCATGGGAAGCCGAAAAATTTAAGAATTTTAAGTGCATGAATTAAAAATAATAAAAGACCACTAACTTTCTTCTTTAATAGCCACTAAGTGGCTTTCTTTTATGGTCACTTTCTTTTCTTTCATGGCCCCTAACCTTCTTTTTTTATGGCCACCTTTTTTTCTTTCATGGTCATTCATGTCTACTCTTTAATTTAATATATGTTTCATAACTTTTGCTCTCCTTTTATAACCATTAACATTTCATTTAATAAGCTATTAAAACTTATTATTATTATTATTATTCTTTAATTCCTAATAGTTTAGGCTAAGATTGTAGGACTAGTTCTTATATATAAAAATACGATCTATAATACCCAAAATAATATATTATATCCTAAAACTCTATACCTAATCACCACATCCTCTAAAAATATAAAAATATTAAATTAAATACACAAATAAAGCATATTTATATGCATATATATGCAATATATTATTATATAAAGTTTTTGGATATTACAGTTTCTCTAACGAGCACCACTCCTCAACATCATAGCACTCATATTTTACTTTTAGGTTTACCATTGTTTGGGATGGTAATTTCCCTCTAAATTGAGCCTTTAAATGGCTCATAGCAATCGTCATCTAATTCATTTGGTTTTTTAAGTTTTGAATGCTTGACCTTGTCTCTTGTTGGAATTGCTTTAAGTTTAAAGCAAGAGACTTCATTATGTCTTCTAATGACTAATCCGAGTTTTAAGGGCATGTTATTGATAAGGCTTGGGTTAATAGTCATATTGCCTTTGTTGATAGAAGTTTTGCTCTCATTGACAACTACTTTCATAACTCGATTTAGGTGATCTCTCCAACCTAGATTGTAGGTGTTAGAGAACGGATCATAGGGCTTTGACTGACCCCACCAAAATTCCTAAAAGTATGAACTTATTCAATATGCCTCTCTTGGAGTGTTGGGCACGCATCCGTGGTATGACTCGAAATTGAACATATTCCACGAGTTTTCATAGCTTATAGATTTCCCTCGACCATTTGCCTAATAAGTGATGTCGAGTCGGATATTTGCTACTCCAAGCTTAATATGTTGACTTCATTTACCCTTTTTGATGTACGATCAACCCTCGTACCAAATTACTAAGAATTTATAGCCATGTTAGATATTAATGCTCCTATAGCATCAAAGTTCTTGTCTACCAGTTGCTCCTCCACTAGCAATATCTATCATGCTCATCTCTATAGGTAGCAAACCTTCATACAAATATATAATCGGTAGCTAGTCAAAGATCCGATGGTGTAGATAGCTAGCACACAACTTCTTGAACCATTCCTAGTACTTGTAAAATGTCTCTCTCGTTAAATTGTTTGATACCATAGACTCGTTGCTTTATATTAGTAGCTCTCGATGCAAAAAAAATATTTTAATTAAAAAGCCCGTTTCACCTCGTTCTATGAGTCAATTGATCTTAGAGAGAGACCATACAACCGAGTCATTCGTATTTACATCAAGTGAAAATGGGAATGCATGTAGTTTAATTTGCTTCTTCGATACTCCTTATGGTCTCATGTTTGAGCAAACCATATGGAATTTCTTTAAATATTTATGAGGGTGTTCTTTATTAAGGCCTCAAAATTTAGGTAATAAGTGTACCAATCTCGATTTCAAGTCAAATGCTACATCCAAATCTAGAAACTCTATACACAAAGGTTGCTAATTAAGATCGAAGTAGCCAACTCCTTCAAAGTTTTGGTTATAGCCATCACCTCTCCTTTTGAGTCACTTCATGATAAAAATTCAACAACTATAGTTATGCTTGGTGAAGCGAAACTACTCTCTTTGATGTTTTAATCTTCTCTATGAAGCTTGTTTATCTTTTCTCCTCAACTTGCTTAATGTTCTTTCCGGTTCGAGGCTGAAAATTAGGTCACTTGTTTGCAACATGGTCATATACCAACTCGATATAGACAATAAGAGCGAGTCAGATTATCAAGAAACAATTAATTTCACCACAACTATTCCTTGGCAACAATGCTAAAATTTGATGATGTGTTGTATCGTCAATAAATTAGGTTTATATTTTTCCTTACGGAATATAGATAGGGAAGTAAGGATCCAACCCATAGGAAAAATGGTCTAATCAATGGTTTCTTTCGAATGATTGTTCTAAAATACAATGGAAATAAAAAAAGGGTTTGTTTTTGTGAAGATTTGTAAGCAATCAAAAGTAAATAAAATTAACAATAATGAGAAAAACCTTGGTTAAATTTTAATATCCACTTTTAGCTTAAACATTGATCATGGATTCAAATACTAACCTATTCTTAACATGAATATTCACCATAGGATAACAACATTTATGTTGTCTCCAATCTTTCGTTATTGATTTGCTAACCAAATAGATGTTATTTGATTAATCCCTAACTATTGAACAATCTAATATACACTAGCTAGATTGAATCCAATAACATAATTAAGTAGAGAAAGACAAGTGAAGCTTAGCCACCCTTCTAGATGTTAGAAAGATGTAATCTAGTTCTATGTTTTCAAGGGATTAAATAAAAATGTATTTATAATCATTAAACCCTAGTTACTACCACAAGTAAGTTTAGACAAGCAATTATATAGACTTAAATACTTAGCTAGCAATAAATTATAATGATCAAGCAATTAGCATACAAATTGAATCAATTAATCATACAATCATAACCAAATAATACAAAAAAAACATAAGAAACTTAAAAAGAATATTTTAGAATTAGAATTCGTTAAGATCTCACAACAATTTTACCACAAGCACCAGCCTTCCTTTAACCAAGATAAATGTTTAGTAACTCATGATTGATTACAAGAGGATTTTCTATCTAAGGGTGGTTGCTAAAAATAGGAATCCTAAAATAAAATCCTAGCCTCACTATTTATAGCTAAAAGTAAGGTTACAACACACATATTAGTCTCTCGTAGCCATATAGATTGTTTGGTGAAGACACATAATTTGTTGCTTTATCTCACATGGTTTGGAGCCTTAGAGAGCTAGTGTTGCACGACTTGCTTGGATAAAGGCACATGACTCGTATGCCTTTTGCACTCCATCTCATGTCTCCTTTTTCTTCATCCTGTGTCACTTCCTTATTCTCGTGTGCCTTGACTACTTCATCCTTTGGATTTCTTCTACATTTAACACACACGAACATGTCACTTCTTCATCCCATACGAGTGTAGATTGCTACTACTTGTGTGTTGTTTCTTTCCTCTTGGAAGATAACTCAACCTTGACACACATACAGCCATGGTACTTTTCTTTCTCTAGCCATGTGAAAAGCTATTACCCGTATGGTTTTGTTGTTGAAAAACCACACAGTTTCCTCCTTTGTTTCACAAGGCTAATGGCTATTTCTTCTAGTAAGACACGTAGTCATGTGTCTCCTTATGCTTCCTTGGTGACTTTGGTTTTTCCTTGCTTTAGTTTGGGTTTGTTTGCTCCAATTTGTCATTTTTCATATAAAATCCGAAATCGTTATCTTGATCTTATTTTTCTAAATATAATACATTAAGTACCAAAAAGTTCAATGTAAAAAAGCATAAAAGTTATCCAAATTATGCACTCACCAACGTCTTTTAGATTTTCTTATAATTTAGTAGTTTTTTATGAAAGGATATTGTCTTTGGGTGATTTTATCTTTCTAGTAGACATAACGGACTCCTTACCTATAGTTTCTAGAACTAATGCATTTTTTAGGTTTTCTAGTCTTTTTGAACAATATGTGGGGACTCCAAGTTTTTTAGCTTTTTCATTAATCCTTGGAAGATTCATATTTCGGGTATCTATAAGGCTTAGGGCTCATAATGGAGGATGAATCAGTGGGTATATTAGCTGTAATATTTGGATTGATCTCATAGGAACGACCTTCTGTCTTAGCATTGAAAGATGATTTTGTCATTGAAGAGGGATTTGTCAGCTCCTATTACTCTGTCATTCAAGTTGTTAGGATGATTATTGTCCTTCACCAGCGTCCCAAAATTCTTTGTAATTGTCTCAATATTAACAGGAAAAGACATATCTAGCTCACCTTCCTTATCATGGTAGGCTTAAAATCACGGAATTGAATAAAAGCTGCAGCCATGTCAGCATTTTCTTTTCTGTTAGGATTCTCCATACTTGAAGCAGCTTGCATGGCCTTATGGAATGTTTTTCTAATACCCATCACCCTATTTCCAAAATTATCAGAATTGAAAGAAGCTCGATTCTTCCTTGGTGAGGCTTGCAACCATTCTCCATAACTCCTCATGCAAAGCTCAAGGTCATCTGCATCATCGAAATCATACTCGCAATATTTCAATGTAAGACCCACTGTATCACATGCATAGCAAAAGTTTGGCAAATGTTCATAATTGAATTGGATAGACACTAACCTGTTCGAGCCAATTCGAAGATTAATGCCTCATTTAATTGAATTTTTGAGGTTCCACTAAAGTCTGACTCTCAAGGAACGAGTTCCAAGCTGTTCATCCTCTCCATCCATCTCTAAGAAACTACCCAGACAATTAACAGTAGCTCGATTTTGTATATTGAAGGACAAATTGTAGATTCGAATCCAGAGGAGAGTCATACATAATTCTAATTCAGATGGTTGCTCATGACCTTCAACTTCTCTTACGACTAAATATTCTTATCAAAATACTATGATTGCCCTCCCGGTACTTTTTGCCTATGTCGTTGGCCAGAATTCCAAGCTTTCATAATTGTTTGGAGTAAGGCTGTAGAATTGAAAGATTTTGAGGTGCAGAGGCTGCAAACCATGCTTTTAAAAAAAACAACTCATACACCTAAGACTTCTAGTCAAACTAGTCTACTAGAATTTAAATCCATGATCTTTTTTTGCAAGAGACCAGCTCTTTAGTAAGCTGCCAACCATGCTCACAGTATCATTATGTTTCCCCTTAATGTCATATTCAATTTCTAATTAATCATCATCCTCATCTGAAAACATTGGCCGATATCCTATAAAAACTTTAGCCGTTCTTAGATTGTTTTCCTTCTTCTTTTGAGTAGTGGATGTAGATCCCATTTAATCTAGAAGTTGTGATCCAATGAAGATAGAAACAATTGTATATAGGGTTTAAATCCTGATAGAGGAGACACAAACAACCTGTAAAAACAAGAACAAAAAACACTCACAGGAGCAAACTATAAAAACTCTGAAGGGGACATAGGGAGCCAAAGAAGAGATTTCAATGGGGGTGCAATTGTTGGGAAAGCAATCTAAAGAGGAAGGAAAAAAAAAAGGGTTTCAGCCTATCTAATGATTTTTATTATTATTATTATTATTATTATTATTATTATTATTATTATTATTATTAAGTATATGAATTAGCAAATATATTTAGGAAAAATTATGCTTGCCGTAAATTGCTTACTCTTCTTTGTTGGTTTTTCACAGGCATAGGCATCAACTTGAAAGAGGCCTAAATATATAGATGGATTTGTTTAATTTTATCTTTATTATCATTTAGTTTTAATATGAAGAAATTAAAACAAAAACAAAAATCTTTGAAATAAAGGATAGTAATTTAGTCTTACACTTATATATAATTAATACAAGTAAATTATTTCTTCTAAAAACATTTTCTTTGTTTTATTTTTTTTTAATTAAGAATTTATATGTTATTTGGTTAAGTTAAGTAGTATATATATATGTAGATAAATCATGTAAAGGATATACCATGGCATCCAATTCAGTGCAATATAGTCCCATTCTAACGGAAATTAAGTTTTATTAGTTTATGTAACATTTGAAAGTTTCATGTATTATATGATTTTAGAATAGTTATTAAAAAGTATCATTCTACTCTCTCTCTCTCTCTCTCTCTCTCTCTCTCTCTCTCTCTCTCTCTCTCTCTCTATATATATATATATATATATATATATATATATATATATATATATATATATATATATATATATCTCTTCTATAAACGTTTTCTTTGTTTTAATTTTTTAATTAAGAATTTATATGTTATTTGGTTAAGTTAAGTAGTATATATATGTAGATAAATCATGAAGAGGATATACTATGGCGTCCAATTCAATACAATATATAGTCCCATTCTAATGGAAATTAAGTTTTATTAGTTTATGTAACATTTGAAATTTTCATGTATTATATGATTTTAGAATAGTTATTAAAAAGTATCATTCTAATATATATATATATATATATATACTAACACAAAGAGTATTTTAGTCATTCGGAAAATACTTGAATAATATAGTTAGGCACATTAATTTCATAATTATTTTACAATTTATGGCAATGGATGTTTCAGTCGTAATGATTAAAAAAAATTACTTTTGAAATATGTTTCTCCAATACAAATACTAATTTCTTCATTAAAAATTAAATGGATAATTTACACAAACGCACACATGTACATTGTAAATAGGTATTGAAATTAACTAATATACTAATTTTTAGGAGAGCCACTATATTTAATTAATAGGAACACAAAAATGTCATACAAACTTTAAAAAAAAAAGACTAATACATAAATTACGTATCAAATAAAATAAGCCATCGTGAACTAATGAAAATAATTAAATTCATGTTTTAAAAATAAAGAAAATAAATCCATCTTAATTTAAGGTTGAATTTCGAAAAGCCAAATTCTTTTATTGAATCTTAAATAATTAGTGATTTATCCTAATTATGAAATCTATATATTATGCTCTCAATCATTATCTTCTTTTTCTTAAAAGTTTTCGTACCCCTATTTTTCCATCATTGATCATTATAACCAATTATATGTAATAATTAAATTGTTCTACTAATTTGTTATATAATCATTCGCTTATTCGTTTATTTTTCTTAATGATATTTGATCCTTTGTTTCAAATGAATCTTATATGAACTTTTCTTTCTTTTATTCTTCTAATTAAGATTTTATATGCTTGTTGCTTAATTTAAATAATCATGTAAAGAAATAATATATTCTGACTCCCATAATATTCAACTAAATATTCAGTCCAATACCAAAAGATCAGTACTTGTTTATTCATTTATTTAATATTAGGAATCTATCACGTATATATTATGTGTACATAATGTTTGATCGGAATGTTATTCAATTAGACTATATGTTATATATACATTTTTTTCCTTCTAATTTATATTTTAACTTTCTTGTAATAAAAAATGAAATCGTGCATTGAGTTTTTTATCATATTTTAATGCACTATTTTCAATATCAACTTTAAGAAAAATCATAATAGAAAAACTTGATAACATGAATATATATTTAATAAAATAATTAATTAGAAACCTTATATACTAATTTCTCTGATTAGTTCTCTTATTATATTGCCGACATTTTCAACATTTCATTTTTTAAAAAAAAAAAAATTTGTCTTAATATAATTAACATCGACCCCAATTTGTTTCAATTTTTTTAATGTCTTGCTTTCTTTTTATTGCAACGCAAAGTGTGTCAGAGAGAATTTGTAATTCAAAACCCAAACTCAGGGTCCTCCTAATAGACAACAAGTCAACTAAAACAGAACCATGCATAATTCAGCTATAAGTAACGGAAAGCAGAGTGTTGAATCCTCAGCAGTGAATTTCTGATTTCAGAATAAGTTTCAGATTTTTTCTTATGCGCCGGTAATAAAAGGCCAAAAATGGTCAGCAAATCCATCGTTAAGCTTTATGCTTTTTACTTTGGAATAATTAAGTGTAGTTTGATCTGTACTGTATGTAAGTTAATTCCAAGTTCATGTTTTCTTTTTTCTTTTTTTCTTTGAGATGATGATTGCTTGATTGTCCGGCTTCGTTTATCTTCAGCTACTTACGCAGTTTGAAGATCTTTACACTATCTCATTTGGCAGCGGCACCTATTCCAGAAATTGCTCATGAAACAAAATGGGAAGGAAAGGCTTCTGCAGAGCTAGCAGGCCCCAAGGCAGAGCAAGAATGGTCTATTTTGGAAGATGATTTCTTAGGCGTGACCAAGTGATTCCCAACTATTACGACATACCTTCACGTTCAAGGCATCCCTGGACAACCTGGGTGTGTTTATTATTGCGCTGGCTTTAAAACTCCAGTTGATAGTGATGGAATTATGATGGAATTAGTATACTGGGTTAGAGAGAAACTACTATCCATTGATTCAAGAAAAATGGTATTTAGCCATACCATCATAGATGGAAGTCTTGGGTTCAACTCATATGTGTCAACAATAAAATTGTTACCGAAACAACATGGTTGTAAAATTGAAAGGAATTATGATGTTGAGCCACTAAAAGGCTGGGCGGTAGAGAATTAGGGATTCTTTGTCGGCTCAAGATTGCAAGACATGGCAAAGAGAATCGCTGAAGCTCTCCAAGTTTAGGTTGCTGTTTTCGTTATTTATTTGGTATCCATGCTCTTCTTATTGTTGTTTCAATGTTGAAACAGTTGTAATTTGCCAATTATGGTTGCAATTGCTGCTCCTGTAGAAGTTATTACTTCAGCCGGCGTAGTTGATGCTGATAAAGTTTTGATGTTTGCATGTGGATACAGCAACTACTTTAGTTCCTAGGTTTATCAAGGCCAATGCTCGCATCATTGTTTTGAAAAATACTACTTGCACTAGCCGGCCTGTTATCTGTACATCAGGTGAACATACACTTGCATCTTTGGGAAATGAATTCCTTCAATGTTTCTGTATGCCCCTTGTTGAAAGTAAAGAATTAAAAATAGAGTAATTTATGGTTTAAATATAGAAAGTTTGTATGTTATCTAAGTTAGGGAATTGTGCCTCTTTATACAGCTAAGACTTTCTAAATAGGCTAGTCTATTTACTATACATGTAAGTTATAACTCTTTGTATTATACACGGCAATACAAGCTGTTATTCTCTTCTTCCATATTTCTCTACATGGTATCGAGCAAACCTTAAAAAACCCTAGTCGTTTAACCTATACACAGTTTCCTCATCAACCTAGCCGCAAATTAGCAACTACAACTCCACCATGTCCGAAATTGAATCTACTCTATAGCCACAAATCCTTCATCTAATTTAGCCAATTGGAAAGGCAAGCATTCGGGGAAGTTTAACTAACAAGCCGGTCAAATGAGTGTTCCCACTCGCACATAAAGCCGAAGTTATCCCATTCGAGTCCTTAGCAAATGGATCATATTCTCAAGTCGTTAAAATCTAACGTTGCGTTATCGGGTACTACTAATGCTTCTTTTGGGCAAACGAGATAGTAATTTAAAGGCCTTAGTTTATTATTCTCTTTCGCAATCCGCTCCTTGGATAATAGATTTAGGAGCAACCGACCATATGACTAGTTTTTTCAATTTATTTCATGCATGTAATCCTTATTCTAGACAAGAAAAAATTCATATAGCATATGGATCTTATTCTTCTATAGCAGGCAAAGGTTTGGTCAAATTATCAAAAACGTTATCTCTTAAATTTGTTTTTCATGTACCTAAACTTGCCTCGCAATCTTCTATTTGTTAGCATAATATCCAAAGACTCTAATTGTTGTATTACTTTCTTTTATTCCCATTGTGTTTCCCAAGACCAAAATTTAGGGAGGAAGATTGACTATGCTAAGATGATAAAT